GGGTTGGTAGGGGGATAAGTCAGAGGGGCGAGGCCATGGAGGGCTTTGTAGATGAGGACAAGGATCTTGAACTGGATCCTCTGAAGGATAGGGAGCCAATGGAGTCGGGCGAGAGTGGAGGAGATGGGGTCACGGAGTTTGGTGCGGGAGAGGACACGGGCTGCAGAGGTCTGGATTATCTGCAGCTGTGGAGGGAGGAGTTGGGAAGGCCGACACGCAGGGAGTTTGCATAGTCGAGCCTGGAGGTGGTGAAGGCTTGAACCAGAGTTTCAGGGGCCTGGGGTGTGAGGTAGTGGCGGAGTCGGGCGATGTTACGGAGGTGAGGGAAGGCAGAGCGGGTCATGGCTTGGATGTAGGGAAGCAATGACAGTTGAGGGTTGAACAGGACCCCCAGGTTCCTGACTGCTGGTGAGTTGAAGTGTGTAACCATGGAGGTTGATGCTACCAGAGCCTGAGGTGCTGAGGCGCTGGCGTGAGCCAATCAGGAGGGCCTCAGTCTTGTTCACATTCAACTGTAGGACGTTTGCCCTCATCCAGGACTTGATGTCCGACAGACAGTCTGTCAGGACAGCAGTGGTCCTGAGGGTGGAGGCAGAAAGATAAGAGTTGGGTGTCATCCGCATATATGTGGAAGTTGACTCCATGTCTGCGGATGATGTCACCAAGGGGGAGCATGTAGATATTAAAGAGGAGACAAGGGCAGAGCCCTGGGGGACCCCAGACATGACAGTGCGGGGGCTGGAGGAGGAACCGTTAGAGGCAACAAAGTCCTACAGATTCACTGTTTCTGCTGCAAATATCTCCTCTCTTCAGCCACAATCAGACGTTTCAGCACAAAATCTGTCGCCGGGGTCTGACATCACAATCATGATCAATGCATTCATCACAGGTTCAACTATGTAAACTACCTGTTTGACGGCTTCCCCAACTCTTCCCTCTTCAGGCTGCAGATTATTCAAAACTCTGCAGCCTGTGTATTCTCCTGCACCAGGCTGCGTGACCCCATCCTTGCCTGGCTCCACTGGTTCCCCATTACTCAAGATGCTGGTCCTCAACTTCAAAGCCCTCCACAGTCTTGCTCCTCCCTGCCTCTGTGACCTCCTAACCCGTTACCAACCAGTCCCTCAACTCAGTGGGCTCCGGCCTGTTTCGCGTTCCCCACCTCGTCCGCCCCACCATTGGTGGGAGGGCTTCAGCCTGTCTGCCTCTGGAACTCCATCCCAGTCCCTCCACCTCACCCTCTTCCTTGCCTCCTTCAAGACCCGTCTCAAGACCCCTTCGGTCACCCTCCTTTCCCCCTGTCCTCCACCCCTCCTGATTCCAACCACCAGCTCGAAACTGTCCAGTGCCTTGGTACATGAAAGGCACTATACAAATTTAATTTGTTGTTATTGTTGTCCTGCTTATTTTGCTAATGTTCCTGAGTCTCAGCCCCCTTGCCACAGATTCTCCAAGTAGAGGAAAATATTTTTTCTTCTTTACTTCATCATATCCATTCAAATTCTTAAAGGCTTCGATCATATCCCCACTCAATCGTCTCCAGATATTCTAAACAGCAATGCTTCGTTCAATGCATTCAAGTCTTCTGAGACGCTCCCTTCCCCTCCCTTCTTCCCCCCCTGACCCCCAGCTCGGGTCTGAAATGCTGTCACTGTCCAGCGCCTTGGCACATCCTCCCGATGTGAAAGGCGCTATACACATGTAATCTTGTTGTTGTTGTTGTTGTTGCATTCTTTGCTGTTGCCATTTTACCAGTTGCCATGATTCTGATTGACTGCAACCACCTATTTGTTGAGAAGACGCACATCAACAACAACAACAAGATTCCATTTATAGAGCGCCTTTCACGTTGGGAGGACGTCCCATGTATGTAACAAAACGCTTTGCTTGGTGTGCATGACATCACAAATATTATCTTGGATTTGTGAACCAGCTATCTTCATGTTGCCAACAACTCTCATCCTTACTAATTATGCACTCAGCAGGATGTTAAAGGAAGGCAGGTGGCTAGATAAGACATGAATCTTCTGATTTCAGTTTCAGTATTCTTTGGATGGGGTAAATTTACTTCATACTCTACCAGTCTCTCCTCAGCAGATGACAGAAGTTCCAGCTCATGATTTCAGCACCAAAGATGACCACAAGAGCAGTGTAACTGAGTTACACGCTGGAACCAGGGTGAAATTTGTTGTTGCTGATAATTTGATTCAGATGTTTAGCTATAATGAGGAAATAAGTCAATGCGGGCCAAAGGGAGACATGATTTTAATCTTTAATCATTGTTTCATAAGTTATCAAGTGCCGTCATTTACTGTCTATGGAATCAACCCCATCACAATCTTTTAACAACAGTATCTTGGAGCATTTAACAGTGACAGAGCCTGTTGCTGAGCAGGGGGGAGGGAGAACCGATGAGCCGGATGGCCTCCTTCTGTGTTGTATAATTCTATAATTGTATGATTTCCATTTTTATTTCATTTGGAGTAATTCAATATACACTCAGAAATATAATCGAGGCCACAAAACATCCTCTCCTCATGATCTGATTAACCTTGCATGGTATACAACTCAGTCCTTGATTTCTATTCACTTGACCCCGCCAACTTCCCACACACACACACACCTACCTCGCAAAACATAGCCTTTCAGATGCTCATCTGAACCACTAGGTGGACCTTTAAATAATAATAATAATAATCCTTGAATTTGATATAGCGTTTTTCACGTCTTCTTGATGTCTCAAAGCGCTTCACAGAATATACTATAAAGTGAATTGACTGTATATTTGTGGGCGAACGCGGCAGCCAATTGCGCACAGCAATGTCCCACAAACAGTCATGGATTGAAAATGACCAATTTATTATTGTTTTGTTTTGGAGGGATTATTATTATGCTCTGTGTGGAGTAAGGAAACTTGCCCAAGGTTTCGCCCTCTGCCTGGAATTGAACCCAGGTGTTTCGCTTGCAAAGCGAGGGCTCTGACCACTGAGCTACAGGACTCCACTAAATGCAAGAGAGAAGTTTTCCACTTTATCTGTTAACTATTCCATTTTCAGTGTTCCCTTCAGGACTGTGAAAAATATTAAGGTCCTAAGTGCTAAGGTTATTTAGAAAATTTAAATATAATGTGAAAATTTCCTTTATTGCATATTGACCAATATTCTAATTTATTTTGCTTCTCTCCCAAACTTGACACTTGTAGTTCACACATTTCCTAACGAAGCAGGAACATGTAACATACTCCCAGCTGTGTTATAAACTCAGCCGCTCGGTGCATTATGAGAGCTGCCAGGGTGATTAGATCATCCACGTGATGCCTCACATCAATGAACCTGCAGCATTAATCAGTCTTATGTTAACTTGGGAGCTCTTGTTAGAAAATGCAGAACTGGGAATGGGAGAGGGAGATAGCATGGAATTATTCCTCATTTGTTGACTAATAGGATGTAAAAAAGGTTCACTCAGAGTGTGTGAAAAACACACTCATTAAGATTTAATATGTTCAATAATGCAAGCAAACTTTCCATTCTATGCTTATTAGAAGCGCTCTGGGATATGATTGTTTATGGGACATTATAGTGGCAATTTACGTATTGCCCCCCAAAATAAGTCACCCCACTTTACAATACATCGTGTGAAGCCCTTTGAGATGTCTCAATGATATGATAAGGTGCTATATCGAATTCAAAGTTTATTATTATTACTCCATGTGAAGGGCACTATACAAACGCAAGTTGTTGTTGTTCTTATAGGTGTGTAACAAATATTGCAAGGCGATGGATTCTGTTTTGTGATATTTCTTAACAAATTTGAGTGGAGTTTATTTTCATAAAGGAAGATCAGCAAGGAACTGCTGAACGGATGTAGCTCCTGAAGATGAGTTTGAGCAAGAAAAGGGTTGGCAAATAAATTGATGACGCTTTTAGCATTCTCCTTATTCCTTACGATGCTCATCAATCATGAGCGTTGTAAGGAATAAGGAGAATGCAGCAGTGAGTGAGATGCCATAGCAATCT